TAAACTGTTGGTGGATTGTTAGTATTTTTAGACGATGAACTAACAACTTTTAGAAATAAAAATTATAGATTTATTCTTAATGTTGAACAAATAAAATAGGCTTTATGGGTTGTGAAAAAGGTTCTAAACAAAATGGGAATTTTTAATTTTATAATTCGCTCCGATTTTTGACATCCTTTATATTTGATTATATCTTTTACTCTATTTAATCTTTTTATTCTTTTCTTTGTAAAATTGTCTTTGCATTCTTTGATTTTTTTCTATATATAGTATGTGTTAAAATTTAAACATTTGTACATTTAGTTTCTCTTTACTCAACGAGGTTATAGTGTATAGAGTGATGATGTACGCTAATCCTTTACTAATTGTATAGGCTACACAGACTGCTCATACACTCTACCTGGATAGGCTGAGCAGGCCTAAAGCGTCCCGGCACACCATGTTACGGTTCCATGTAATGTTTTTTGACTGACATCTAACGGCCACTTGCATTCAGGGGTTAAGTTTTACAACTTTTAAAGAAATACTCCAATTTTAAACATAAAACATAACGTTTATGAATATTGTCTACTTTTAAAGATTTTGCATTTTCTATTCAAAGGATCCTTAAATATCCCTGAGTACAGATGTCTCCTGATTGGTCGTGTACAGTACTTGTACACAATAGAACATGCTGTGGAAAATATTGCATATCATAGGTGTTAATCGATCTCTGTAACTATTTTTTTTTTCTCTGAGGCCATCAACCATACAGTGAGCGTACTGCATATTTGTTTATTATAAGTTGATTCTGGCCTAACCTATACCTATAGTATATCAATATTAGTAAAGAGTTGTAATTGTACAGTACAGCTAACTAACCACACAGGTGGGAAACTATCATCCCCCCGTCTTTACTTCTCTCAACCAAGGATATACGAGAAATCCACGGTGCCTCGGTAAAATTTAGATATAAAACTGTGTAAAGAGCAAAAAATATTTCAGTTTCTTTTCAAATCTCTTGTTTTGAGAATCAAAAAGACCACATAAAAAGTATTCACAATTTTTTAAACATCATTGTTTTTGAGAAATATTCAACAAAAAAGTAAAAAGATAGCTTTAGGAAAAAAATAGTTTTGTACAAAGAAGTTGAGTTTTTGCCACAAACATAAGTTTTTGTATCCCATTATCCTTGCAACCTGATGATGTAAATGTTTGATATTTCAAACTTTGAATATTTAATGTAAGAGGGTTCATAGTTTGAAATATCTAATGTTTACGACATTGGGTTGCAGAGATTTGGGGATTTGAAAATCAGAGTTTGTGACAAAGACTCAATTCCTTTTCCTTAACTGCAAGAATATGTGAAATTAGATTGGATTAAAAATATCTGGTTCTCCTACACGCAGTTCATCATGATCAAAATACTGCGTAAGTAAATTATTTTTAGATTTTAAGGGAATATAGTATTTACCATAATTTACCACAAACTCAAATTTTCTAATACTTTTTTTTCAACCTGATGGTGTCAACATTTGCTATAGATTGTTTTATCTAACAAAATTCATAGTTTGTAATGACAAAGGTAATCGACATCGGGTTGCAAAGACATAAAGATTAGAAAATCAGAGTTTGTGACATCGACTCAATTTGATTTTGTAGAAAAAAGTTTAATCTTATTCGATGCGATTTTACCAAATGAAATCTTACAACTTAGTATTTTTTTTTGATAGTTTAATTTTTCTCTGCTTTTGTTTAAATAATTAACATGTTTTCAATCTTTGGGGAGGGACACTAATTATTCAGAATCATCTGAAAAAATTTCATTTTTAAATATTATTAATTTTTCATGTTAATGCATAAAAAAATGTGCAGTTTCCTTTTTTTATAAAACTGGATTTAAAAAATCAAATTAGATTTTTTTTGTAAAAATTTTTGAAGTAAGATTTGGCTTTTAAAAGTCTAATTAAAGATAAAATTTCAGTTTGTTTATCTGCTGCTGGGATTGGAATCACAAATACCTGGATCTGTGGAAACCTTCTCTACAAGATTCTCATTAGATCAAGGAATTATATTTTCTTTATGTTTTTAGCAAAAAATGTCTTTATTATTAACCTTTTGTTAAAACTGTGCGAACTACTTTTGAAACTTGGTTATTTGTCATGTGAGGAGGGCACTCCTGTATGCCGAGTCCATTAGCGCCTGACCAATCAGGGTTCAGTCATGTGTTTGTTGTCTATTCTGAACCGACAGAAATAGTATGGCGGTAACATCGATCTTTCTATCTAACTCATTATCCAATTAGACATAGGAATCCTTCAATCGGCACTAACAGTAAATGGAAATTTTTACTTCAATAATTCAATAGTTAATTTTTTTGAGTCACAGACACTTTAGGTCTGGTTCACGTTCGGTTGCAGATTTTACCAAAACGATGAATTTAATCGTGTAAAAAAATGATTTTGTTTGTTTCTTTAAAAACAAGGAAGATACTCAAAGAACATCGTATTTTTTTTTGCAAAAGACTACTACAGTTTTTGTGAGGAATCTAAACATACTTACGCGCCGAAAGCTTCAAGTTTGTTCTTATTATTTTTAATATAATTTAAATTTTATAGCTGCTGGACTTTCATGAATATGGGAATGGGGGCAGTTTTCTTCAACTTCATCACAATACAGGTATCTTGAATTCTTCTTTATCTTAATCACAATACAGGTATCTTGTTTTCTACTTTATCTTCATCACAATAAAGGTATCTTGAATTCTTCTTTATCTTCATCACTATATAGGTATCTTGAATTCTTCTTTATCTTCATCACAATATAGGTATCTTGAATTCTTCTTTATCTTCATCACAATACCAGTATCTTGAATTCTTCTTTATCTTCATCACTATACAGGTATCTTGAATTCTTCTTTATCTTCATCACAATTTAGGTATCTTTAATTCTTCTTTATCTTCATCACTATACAGGTATCTTGTTTTCTACTTTATCTTCATCACAATACAGGTATCTTGAATTCTTCTTTATCTTCATCACTATATAGGTATCTTGAATTCTTCTTTATCTTCATCACAATACAGGTATCTTGAATTCTTCTATATCTTCAACACAACGCAGGTATCTTGAATTCTTCTTTTATCTTCATCACTATACAGGTATCTTGAATTATTCTTTATCTTCATCACAACGCAGGTGTCTTGATTTCTCTTAACAAAGACCAAAATATCTTGAATTTGCCTAAACCTGAATTCAGAGTATATAGAACATCATCAAACTTTTAATAAATAAATAAGTTAGGATTCAAAAAAGGTCCAAGAACTACTTTTTACTTTAATCCTGGTTTGATCCTTAGTAGAATATCAAAAATTAATGTCATTAAGCTTATTATTAAAGAATAAGAGGTTGAAGAGAGTAATAATTTCCCAATCCAACATTTTATCCAATTATGAACAGTATTACTTGATTCATACAAAAGAAAAATGATAAATCATAAACTTTAGATTTTAGCTTTTGAAAAATTCACAATTTCTTTAGAATCTTGCGTTGTATCAGTTCCTAAGACTAGCTTCCAGTGAAAAACAAGATCACAGGATTTGTGACTCCTTCTTCAGGTGGTGTACGCCAGTGCTTATGATCCAGATCCGGATTTGTAATTTTTCTGCTTCTGGGATCCGGTCCCGGATCCAAAAGGAATTATATCAATGTTTAACAAATTCAAGTTGATGTCATAATAGACCTATGATATTTAAAATTGTGAATTCTGAGGCCGAAGCTAAAGAATTTGAGCGGCGGCTTAAATTTAAACCGCGGCTCAAATATTGTTGGTTCAACTTAAAATTGTATTAAATTTTTTAAGATTTAGACCGACGTTCAATTGAAACCGGTTTTTGGGTGATTTGAGACGCGGCTTAAATTCATTAAATTCGGACACTGATCGAGCAAATATAGCCAAAGGTTAAAAATATCAAAGGCTGTTACACCATAAGGTTGCTAAGAGGTTTGAAGTGTTTAGTTCCTATGTATTTATATGGTAAAAGAACAGAGTTTTTGCCACAAACTATGATTTTCATATCCCTATTTCTTTGCAAACCAATGTCATAGACCTTAGATAGTCCAAACTATGAATTCTGTTGGATCAAATAATCTAAGTTTAAAATATAAAAGGTTTACACCATTAGATTACAAAGTAATAGGGATAAGAACATATAAACCGATTTTCTGTAACAAAATATTATCGTTTCTAAGCCGTTTTTAAACTAAAGTCATTGAAAGTTTTCATCTAGTTTATTTTTACTTTTATTTAAGATTTAAAATGTTTGTTAAAAAAGAAATGGATTCAATATGTGGCTGTTGAAAAATGTGAAAATTTAATTTGATTTTATACATTGTAACTATACATTATTACTTTTGATTTGAAGTTTGTATATTTGTATACTTCAAGTTTTGAATTAAACATAGATCGACTTCCTTGACACAAAAAAGCTAGGCCTGCGCCATCCCTCCTCTAGTTTTTTTTTTCCAGAACAGTCATTTTGAACAGTATTGCCTTAAAATTTTAAAATAGATTTTAAAACTATTTTTGCAATTTCTTTGATTGATTTACAGGGCGATTTAAAGGATGATCGTTGTGTAAAAAAATCCAATATCTTTGCATCTTGAAGGTGAAGCAAAGACTCTAATCCTTATATAAATATTTAGAAAGCCCTTGAAAAATGTAAACACATTTGCTCCGTGGATATTTTAAGGGTTAAAAAGAAATCTTTCTAAAATATACAAATCTTTCATGAAGTTTATACGTTTGTCGGGAAAATTCAGACAATTTACAAACTCCTTAGCTACGTTTTTAATTACTAGATATATTACTGATAATAAGAGTGGTTCTGGCCATCACTAGGTGTCACTAGAATGTCTTCTTAACCCTATCACGATTGGAAAGTTGGACAATTCGAGACATATATATTAGACAAAAATAGCCCATCGGGATAAGGTTAATATAACTTCTTTTGATTAGGATTAGATGTGCTGAAACTTTGCTACCTCATGATCAGCCTGGTCTTCACGGTTATGTTGATGATTAGTTGGTTTTTCGCCAGAAATACAGATCATACACAGTTCCTTGTCTCAATCTGCAAAAGGTTTCCAATTATAGGGAAGGGCTCACAAAAGATATCATTTTTTTGTTTTGTAAAAACTGTTAATTTGCCAATTTGGATTTCTTGCGGATTGATGCAGAAGAGACGACAAGAAAATTGGCAGAATTTAACACTTTTCCAGATAGAAAAACGAAATCATTTATCTTTCTCAAAAATGTGAATTATACAGGTTTAAAGGGTAAAACCGCTGTGAATGAGACAACTTACTTAACAACATAATTATAAATTTAGTTATATCAATATTTTTAAAGGCAACATCAAAATGGAGTAGATCCAGGGAGATTCTTTAAAGTAAGACTTTATAATAATTTATCTTTTCCTTAGCATTCGTTGTTAGTAATGATTTATCTAAATTTTTAATATCTTTTATTATTTGTAGCGTCGTCTGAAAAATGCAATTTTTGTTTCATTTTTCTTCTTCGGAATCTTCTCTACTCATTACAGAATCAAGAAACTCGTCAGGTAATTTAGGAATCATATTGGAATTATATTGTCGGGTAATTTAGGAATTATATTGGATTAATATTGTCGGGTAATTTAGGAATTATATTGGATTAATATTGTCGGGTAATTTAGGAATTATATTGGATTAATATTGTCGGGTAATTTAGGAATTATATTGGATNAAACAAAAAATTAAAACCCAAGTAGACAAGGGTAAGTGGTTGGAGCTCGACCCTGGAGCTCAACGTAACATAGCCTACAGGACATGATACTTTGACTGTAGGTTGAATGTTAATAATGATTATAATAATACTATCAAATTAGCAAATATATATAAACATAAATATATTTCATATTTCTAACTGGATAGGTTAGGTAACTTAATGGAGAGTTACATCACATAATGTTGACACTTGACAGCCCCTTTAATTGTTACATTGAACTATGATAACTTTTCCCCCAAACCGATTCTGCTCGCAGTGTGTATCTTAACCTGCATCTAGCCACCGCGCAGCACTCGGTTCCCTTTTTAAAGTGTTTGAAGACCTCCTAGGTATAATAATTAAAAATTTTCGTATTTTTATTAATATAGAGGATTCAAATTAACACGAAGAGCAAGGGCAAGTACTGCGGCGGGGTAAGGTTTGGACTTTCCAGAAACGAAAGGGCGGCAAAAAAATTTCAAATTTTTTATGATTAAAAGTTTTTTTAAAATTTTTTAATAAAAATACACCGTGGTAACAAAACTTTTATTTGCAATTTACAACAGAGCTGAGAGAAGAATAATTTACGTAACATACTCAATTTTGTACTTTTCACCTGATGTACATCACAACATTGGAATTTTAATCTTTTTTAAAAAGGAAAAATTTCCGTGGAAGTCTGAAAAAGGTTGGACTACGATATCAGAGGAACATTGTCACATACCGGTAAATATAACACAAAATTTAATATTAGGCTTTTAGGGAAGAGCCCATCTTCTATTTCAACTGTTAATTGTAAATCAATGTATCTGCGAGCATCTTCTTTTTGTACTTATATATAAAACAAAACAAAAAAGTTCGCAGATTTAATGATTTTTTTTGTTTAAATTTGTTTAAATAAATTTTTGGATATATAGCTTTACCAAAGAAAAATATGCAAAATTATGCACAAATAGGCGACATTGATCATTACTCATTACATAACATATTTATCATTTCATTTATTACGTAATCATCGAATCCTTTAGTACACAAATTTGTTTAAAGTGAAGAATTCTAGTAAACTGTGGAAATTAAAACTTTAATATCAAAACATCATTTTAAATTCAGGAAATTTTTATCTTTCGTGTTTCTTAAACAAAAATAATCTTTGTTAAAATTTCAGGCAGTGCTACACATTTACTATCCATCTTCTAGTATCAAGGTATGCAGAGACAGAATAAGTTCCTTCTAAGCTAAAAACTTAAAGGAACAAACAGGCTCTCCAAGTAGCCGTTCCTTCTAAACTAAAAACTTGAAGGAACAAACAGACTCACCAAGTAGCCGTTCCTTCTAAACTAGAAATTAAAAGGAACAAACAGGCTCACCAAGTAGCAGTTCCTTCTAAACTAAAAATTTTCAGGAAAAAACAGGCTCACCAAGTAGCCGTTCCTTCTAAACAAGAAACTTAAAGGAACATACAGGATCATCAAGTAGCCGTTCCTTCTAAACTAAAAACGTAAAGGAACAAACAGGCTCACCAAGTAGTCGTTCCTTATAAACTAGAAACTTAAAGGAACATACAGGCTCACCAAGTAGCCGTTCCTTCTAAACTAAAAACTTGAAGGAACAAACAGGCTCACCAAGTAGCCGTTCCTTCTAAACTAAAAACTTAAATATGGTTCTCCCGTTCGTTAATAAATGTGCCGTTAACAATCTTGATACTCGAATTTTAATGGCATTAATCGTAAATAAACCAATTATTTGTTAACTTCATGAACGATTAGGAAGTTCGCTAACGAAACTTCTACATAAATAAATAGTTTAGTGGTTTAATTTTCAAAAAATACCGAAGTTGACCCTCAACAACTTCATAAGTCACAACACATTATAAAAATAGATTTGTTTATGTTTTTTTAAACATTGTAAACCATGAAAAGTAAAGAAAGGAATTGAGTTTTTGCCACAAATGCCAATTTCATGAGACCTAAATCTCAACAACCAGATGATGCATACCTTTCATAGTTCAAACTTACATTGTTTGATCCACCAGAATTCATTGTTTGAAATATCTACGGTCTACGACATTGGGTTTTAAAGAAATTGGGATTTAAAAATCCGAGTTTGTGGCAAAAACTCAATTCCTTTGCCGTAATTTTTATGAAAAGCAACCATGTTTATTGTTAATTTAATTCTCCTCGTTCGTTAACGGAATTTTTCGTTGATGTTCAAAACTGCCGTTTGGGAACGAAATATTGCCTATAAGCCCTATATAAGAGTACAACAAAAAACCTCTGTAACCCGTTTGTTTTTGCTTGATGAAATTTTAAAGTCAATGGCAGCCATGTTTCTCGCACACAAATGTCAAAATAGATGGCCATATTTTATTAAGTTTTAAAAAATGTGTGTATCATACCATTATCATATTGATTTTTTCAAAAATTAAATCGATATTTTTTGTATAAAACGGGGCTCATAATTTAAAGAAAATTAAAACCCCGATAAAAGGTTAAAAGGTTACTTAAAACGGCTAAAATGCTAGAAAATTTTCTCAGAATTAATTTTTATTTTTTTATATCAGATTAGTTCGTGAAGGAATGGAACTGTTGCTTTACAACAATCAAGATCTGACCTCGACCTGGGGGATGCAAATATTCTTCTGCTTCTATATTATCAAGGCTAGTTTCTTTGTATTAAAGGGAGATTCTTGATTTGTATTAAAGGGAGTGACTTGCTTTGTATTAAAGGGAGTGACTTGCTTTGTATTAAAGGGAGTTTCTTGATTTGTATTAAAGGGAGTTTCTTGCTTTGTATTAAAGGAAGTGACTTGCTTTGTATAAAAGGGAGTTTCTTGCTTTCTATTAATGGGAGTTTCTTGCTTTGTTTTAAAAGTGAGTTTCTTGCTTTGTATAAAAGTTAGTTTCTTGCTTTGTATAAAAGTGAGTTTCTTGCTTTGTATAAAAGTTAGTTTCTTGCTTTGTATAAAAGTGAGTTTCTTCCTTTGTTTTAAAGGGAGTTTCTTGCTTTGTTTAAAAGGGAGTTTCTTACTTTGTATTAAAGGGAGTTTATTGCTTTGTATTAAAGGGAGTTTCTTGATTTGTATTAAAGGGAGTTTATTGCTTTGTATTAAAGGGAGTTTATTGCTTTGTATTAGAGGGAGTTTCTTGATTTGTATTGAAGGAAGTGTATCTTCTTTCAGGAGTTTGTACTTTCTTTCAGGAGTTTGTACTTTCTTACAGAAGTTTGTATACTTTCTTTCATGAGTTTGAACTTTCTTTCATGAGTTTGTACTTTCTTTCAGGAGTTTGAACTTTCTTTCATGAGTTTGTACTTTCTTTCAAAAGTTTGTACTTTCTTTCAGGAGTTTGTACTTTCTTTCAGGTTTGTACTTTCTTTCAGGAGCTTGTACTTTTAGGAGTTTGTACTTTTTTCATGAGTTTGAACTTTCTCTCAGTAGCTTGTACTCTTAGGAGTTTGTACTTTCTTTCAGTAGTTTGTACTTTCTTTCTTAGGAGTTAGTACTTTCTTTCAGGAGTTTGTATTTCAAAATTAAGTTTGTGTTTCATAAGTTTGTTATGGTACTGTTTAATTTTTGATTTTATAGATGCCTTTAATGTCCTGCATATCACCCCCTCCCCCCTTGTATTAAACATCCTCCTTGTTAATAACCAAAGGAAGAAGGAGCCAGGGATTTCATTTTCCCCTTTATAATAGTTTATGATTGTTATATTTGTACAGGAGGTTGCTGTTACAATCAGGTTTATAGAGTTCTATCTCACTTCTCACAAATACTATTTAGATATCCAAACTCAGGAAAAACTATTAATGCTAATAATGATACAATAATACTAAATTTTATATCAAATATCTGATACAAGCTTTTGTTCCGATTATATTCATGTTCATTGTGCTTTATTGATTTTATGCTGTGTGAACTTAAAATACAGGGAAGGGGGGGAGGGGGTGATTTTGGATGCAAACACTTCTATCAAAATAAATTCTGCCGCTTTTGTGTTGAAGGGAGTGTTCGCGAAAAATGAAAGGGGGTACAGGCTTATGGCGAAAAATAAGCGCTTTTGGTCACTACTAATCTTACTTCTCTGTTGCGTCTATAAGGAGAAAATTGTTAAAAACTACTCATGATGAAGAACATAGCGTCCATACAAATTCAGAAAGTTGCAACATTCTACTCGGATCGTAAAATAATCAATTGATTCCAAACAAATCATTCAGATATTACAACCAATAGTCAACGATTATTTTTCGACGCATTCGTATATGGTTAATATTTCATAATATTTTATATTTCTTATTTTTTTAAATAATATTTCGCTGGCACTGCTTTTTTAACATTCCTGGAAAAATGAAAATGTCGTCTTCATGCAAAAATCCTCGAAACGGGATCATAAAAATAAAAAGTATTATGTATTATTAACTATATACGAATGCGTCGAAAAAAAATCGGTGACAATTGGTTGTAATATTAGAATGAATTGATTTTTTACGATCCGAGTTGAATATTGCAACTTTCTGAATTTGTATGGACGCTACGTTCTTCGGTATGAGTCGTTTTTAACAATTTTCTCCTGATAGACGCAACAGATAGAGAGATTAAAAGCGCTCATTTTTCGCCGTAAGCCTATACCTCCTTTCATTTTTCGCGAACTCTCCCTTTAAGAGCATGATAAAACTAGTTTTATCTGGTAGTTCTAATAATTTCAATAATTTTCAAATAGTTTAAAATACAAACAGGAAAATGTAGATGAAGGAAGAGATATCTTGTCACTTCTTGGGATGATTCACCACCTCTTTCCCAAACCAAACCAAACCATGTATCTCAGATAAACCAATCACACCAAACCATGTATCTCAGATAAACCAAACCAAACCAAGCCATGTATCTCAGATAAACCAAACCAGTTTAAACCAAACCATGTGTCTCAGATAAACCAATCACACCAAACCTTGTATCTCAGATAAACCTAACCAAACCAAACCATGTATCTCAGATAAACCAAACCACACCAAACCATGTATCTCAGATAAACCAAACCAAACTAAACCAAACCATGTATCTCAGATAAACCAAACCAAACCAAACCAAACCATGTATCTCAGATGAACCAAACCACACCAAACCTTGTATCTCAGATAAACCAAACCAAACCAAACCATGTATCTCAGATAAACCAAACCAAACCAAACCATGTATCTCAAAGAAACCAAACCAAACCATGAATCTCAGATAAACCAAACCAAACCATGAATCTCAGATAAACCAAACCAAACCATGTATCTCAGATAAACCAAACCAAACCATGTATCTCAGATAAACCAATCCAAACCATGTATCTAGGCTAAACCAAACCAAACCATGTATCTCAGATAAACCAAACCAAACCATGTATCTCAGATACAAGGTAAATCAAAACAAACCAACCCATGTTGCTTAGATTACCCAATCAATGTTTATAAATGTTCACATGTTACATAATATTCATCTAAAAATAAACAATTATAAATCAATTTTGCGTTTTTAAATTGAATTCAATTCATGTTACACAATATCATTATATGTGGAAGTAAACGCAGTCCACTAAAGATTAAGATTCTGCATCAATAAAACGCACTTTCTGCATCTATTTGTAATTTTTTATTTATTGAAATAAAAACCTTAATGTTCTTATACTTCTAACTTTTGTTTTTGTTGAAAGATTTAACTGCAGAAAAATTAATGAAATTGAAAGTTTACTCTCAAGTTAAAGCCTTTTGTTTCGATTAGTTTCTGAGTTTATGATTCAGCATTTTCCCAGCTTAGCTTACATTAAACCTTTTCTTCTGAACCTTTCACAGAATATTTGCAGAAAATTCATTTTTTGATTTTCAAGTTGGAGGAAAGGAACTGAGTTTTTGTCACAAACTCAAATTTTCTAATCCCTATTTCTTTGAAACCTGATGGTTAAAACCTTTGATATTTTATAGTTTTTTGGTCTAACCGAGTTCATAGTTTGAAATATCAAGGCTCTACGACATCGGGCTGCATAGGTTATAATTTTGTGGAAAAAAACTCATTTCATTTGTTTTAAAAACTTGTTTACATTTTTCAAAATTCTGCAAATAGTTATTACATCATTTTTTGGATTTAGACATACAAAAAAAACCTATTTTTGAAATAATCTCACCACTCAAAAATGGTCAAGAATAATCAATAAATAATGGATAATTGATGGAGAAAGTCCCATGTTTTTTGGACATTAATAGTGACAGTATAATACATGATAGAAAACATAAAAAATTGCTTTATATTGGATAAAAATGAGGTTTAGTCAGAGCCCGAAATCTAAAAGAGTATCGTTGGACAAAACTCCCGAGTTTCCTTTTTGGGGTCTTAACATTTGTGTAGATTTTTTTTTAAAAATTCAAAAAAATGAGAATATAAACAAACTGAATATAATAATATTTCTTACCAAAAATGTTGATATTCACAAAACTACCTAACTCCATTCGTGAAACCTTGGTTTTAAAACTGGTTTTCAGAACGAGTCCCTGTCTTAAGTTATGGGCTCAGGGGGGATGATAGTGCCTGTGTGCTCAGTTAGCTGTACTGTACATTTGCAACTGTTTACTAATATTGATATACTATAGGTTAGGCCAAGCATTAAATCCTTCGGTTAGGCCAGAATCTCATTACAATAAACAAATATGCAGTACGCTCTCGGTATAGTTCATGGCCGGCCTATACAATTAGTAAAGGATTAGCGTACATCATAACTCTATACACTATAAGCTCGTTTGGTTTAGTTGAGTCTAATACAAGAGTTTATAGTATCTAATGTTGAAAGGATGGGTGGGGTATACTAAATGTGTATGCATTGGTTAAACTAAATTGTTTAATGTTTGTATTTACTCAACCACATCATGTATTCATTGTAAACATACAGACATAAACCTTTTAACATACGGACATACACCTATGAACATACAGACATACACCCTTTTACATGAGACATACACCTTTTAAAATAAATACATACACCTTTTAATGTACAGACCTTAACATACATACATACATCTTTTAACATACAGACATACACCGTTTAAAATAAATGCATATACCTTTTAATGTGCAGACCTTAACATACATACACATCCTTTAATATTCGGGCATACACACTTTAACATACAGACTTACATCGATTTAATACAGACATAAACCAATAATATACTGACATTAACCTTATACAGACATAAACCAATAATATACTGACATTAACCTTATACAGACATAAACCAATAATATACTGACATAAACCTTATACAGACATGCACCCTTCAAAAAACAATTTTGTCTAAACAATTTTAAACTAAAAAGGAATTGAGTCTTTGCCACAAACTCTAGTTTTCTTATGGCCCAATATCTTCGCAACCCATTGTTGTAGACCTTAAATATCTAAAACTGTGAATTATGTAAGATCTAATAATCTGAGTCTGAAATAATAAAAATTTTCATTATCAGGTTTCAAAGATAAAGGGATTAGAAAATTTTTGTTTGTGTCTAAAGCTCATTTCCTTTCTGAATTTAAACAGCCAAATGATACAATATATGGATAAAAATTAATTTTATTATATGTGAAAATTTAGTTGCTTTAGGGTTCAGAGTTAAACTATGTTAAGTCATGAGTTTAGCAGCTCTGAAGTCTGCTGTCCATGGAGTATTCCCACCTTGAGTTGAGTCAAAAGTACGAATTGAGGAGTCCGAATTTCGGTTGTCCATGTCCATTAAACCCACTCTGACAGACAGAAGTTCAAACAAGTGAAGTTCCTTACTTAAGAGTACGAATTAAGCCGTCCTATAATACGTTGTCTATGGATTAAACCCTTCTTGAGTAGAGTGATAAGTATGAAATGAGTAGTCCTGAATTTTGTTGTCCATGAGCCCATGCTGACGAGACAATCAAGAACACTTGAGTTTGCATACACAGGACCTCACACAGACACCCTACATTTGTAAATACTGGGTGTTCTAAACCTCTATACCAGTTTTTGTTTAAATCTTCCAGTTAGAATACTAGTTCAACTTTCCGTACCTAATTCAACTTTGTCTTATTCATTATTAATTTCGACCTTTACGCACTTTATCAGTCAATTCCATAAGACTATCGAAGAACTAAGGAAGGCGCTAAAACAAAACTGTAAACCTGCGGAATATAGTCATGAGTTATTATCCCATAATCATTAAGAACGTTGTAATATACACTCAAAAATTGCACACTTCAAACGCGCGCTATGCAAATGCAAATGCGCGCACTATGATTTACCACCACCTTGTGTTTGTATCTGTGAGTATATTGCACATGTTCCCTGGGTGGGTTCCTTCCGTCTCATATTTCTGAAAGATAATATTCATTTCTTTCATATATCTTTCAGTATACCTATCAGTCATTGAAGAGGGGGGCTATGCATGAGTTGGGGTGAGGTGGGGGGAATACGGATGGGGTTTAAGGAAGCAAGTATACGCAACGCCGGAAGGGAGCAGGGGCGTAGAAAGGTGTTTGTCATGTGGTCTTATTTTGTTTGTTCTTTCCAAAAAAAACATGAAAAACCCATTGAAAACACACCTGAAAACCCCCCACCCCCATAGATTTCCGGGAGGGAAGGGGGGGCTGAGCCCTTAGCCTCAAAGTAAATTAAATATATTTCTACCTCGGAATAAATCATAATATATTTCTCGCTGCATTATTGGAAATAACATCTATTTGATCGGTGTGTTTGCCAACATTAATCGATGGCATTGCAATCGGATTTTCTTCATCGAGTAAGAAGAAATTCATTATTCAATTAAAAGAGAAAAAAATTCTGAGAGACTGCATGAGGTTTGTTCTGTTGTGGAAATATTCCGAGGTTAAAGGTTGTAGCTGATATACGGTCAGCTCATGTACAAAGAAAGTGTAAGGGTTTGGTTTAGAGTTGCATCTACACATTTGTTACTTGGGTAGTAGTATATGTACATAGCAGGATAGTTATATGTGGCAGTGAGGTTTATCACTCACCGATAGACAGTGGCGTACGGGGGGGGGGCGCCCCCCGCCCCCCCTGAGAGGCTGAGGGGGGGCACCAATGGGGAGAGGCTCTTTTACTACTACATTTGCTTGCATATCCATTCCTCAGGCCAGGCAGTGGCACAGTAGCGTACCTAGTGGGGGCAGTAGTCCTCTTGCCCCCCCTGGAAATACAAAATTAAAAGGAAACTACGGTAAAAAAAAAACACCTGACATTGACAAAGACTAAGGATTGCATTGGTCCAAATTCACTGTTAATACAAGGAGAGAAAAGTTTAAGCCTTCTAAAGAGAATACTTTATTACACAAGATGTACTATGACGGAGAGCAAGACTTAATGATCTTGCACTTGCTGTCTGAGCTCTCTACTGAGAAATTCATTGAAATGTTTGTACAAGCAAATCTCAGAAAATTGAAGCTTAAAAGAGTTGGTGAATATGTAGATTGGGTAAATTCTATCTAAACAGAAGAAATTTCGTTTATTCGTGAACATATAATTTTTAATGATGCTGTGATTATTAATTTAGTTAGCTGTGATGGAGTTAAGTAATAAATTTATAAAGTAAAAACGTTAGTTTTTCAAGCAAAGGAAAATTTTTTAGACTCTATTTAACTAGAAGTGCCGCAGAGTATTCCTACAACCCGGGTCTATGTTGCCTGGGTAAAATTATAAGTGATGTTTGCGATATATGTGATGTTTGCGATATTTGTGATTTGTGATATATGTGCATAGTACAAAGCTCTGTATGTCGCCAGCGTGTATCTCCAGGTTCATATGAATTTTAGGAAAATTAGCTGTAGCTGGTTATTTTTTCTATAGAAAAAGTTTAGCTTATCTTGCTGGTTATTGAAGAGCTAGATTGCTGGATGTGAAGACAGAGTTGGGGAGCCTGGCGTTAGTACCATGAGAATTGGAGACAATTTTGATTGCCATTCTTCAAATTATGAGGCTCTGGAGGTTAGTTTGTCGAGCTCATGAATGATTTGCATCTTCTCCCAATTTCATTTAGTTTCAGTTCTGGTTGGGTTGGTGGTGACTTCAGGGAGTTAAAACCCTAAGTTGTCTTGATACCATTGCTCTGTAAAATTTAGTACAAAGAAACTTTTTTATCCAAATCTTCTCAGGAATTCAAAAGTTGTATATACAAGAGTTTTTTGATAATGGAAATTGCTGTGTGTGTATACTGTATAGGTGTATTTTTCAAAGAATATCCATACCAGGTAGAATGAAAATATTTAGAATTACAAAAGGTAGAATGATCAATAGGTAGAACATAAAAAAGGTAGANAAAACGGCGATGCAATGAATAAAGTAAATCCAAATTAAAAAACTAAAAATGGTCCTAACTCCAAACTCAAGCCTTTGTGACTTGGCATTTATAAATAATATTTTAATTTGCTATCCCTGATAGCGTCCATCCGATTGTGAACCTTGGGAAAAAGATTTAAACCTTGGGAGGAAGGGTTTAAATCTTGGGATAAAGGAAGTAAACCTTGGAAGGAAGGATTCAAATGTTGGGAAAAAGGATTACGATCTTTAGGGAAAGGGTTAAACGTTATGAGGAAAAATTTAAACATTGGGAGGAAGGATTTAAACATTAGGAGGAAAGACTATAAACAAGGATAAGTGAGATCTTTTACCTTGCTTCTTCTTAATAGTTGCAGGAGTGGCACAAATCTCACTGAGCATTAATAAATTTTCCATATCAATCTGAAAGACTCTGGATCTGTTTTAACTGACTATGTTTAATAAGTTACTTATTAAAATTTTCTGCTTTGTAAGAACATCTAATACACTGTAATATTGTCTTCCTATACCATAGTTGTCAGGTTCTCACTGTAGCAAAAAATCTAATTTTAATCAAATGAATCTTACAATTTTTACCAAATAAAGTATCATATTTAATTCTTAATTAGTAACTGAAAACTTAAAAATTTGAAAAAAAGAAAAATGTTCATGTGACCCTGGATTATTTTAGAATCTACAGAGATAATTTCCATTCTTGTATCTGCTGTATAAATTTGTTTAAGTCAAAGTTCAAAATTATTGATTTTTAAATTGAAGTCTTTGCAAAGCAAATCCTTCGCATGCAATTCAGCGCAATTCCCCGAATATATAAATACTTCCTTGCTTGTAATTAAAGCACAATTCCACGCAATGAAATGGCGCAAGCGGAAGCAATCATTGCGAGCAATTCCGCGCAACAGAATTCCGGTTGAAAACCCTACTTACTGCTTTGAGTATAGACCATTTCACTGTCGATAGATTAATATGAATTTGTATATATATATCTCGAAAACCTTCTATTTCTCTTGTAAAATCAAATTGATTTCTATCTTAAAAATGATTAACTTTTTACCCCTAAAATTGGAAATTTATGTTTCACAAAAGCAATAATAAAACTTTGTCACTGGAACAACAGTTATTAACTTTTTGGATTTCTGATTATTGTTTATTTTTAGAGAAATCAATATTTTTCTTTTCAGGTAAAGCAATCAGATAAATATTCTCGGAAAAATAAAAGAAGGAGGAAAAGTTATTTTAATTTCATATCTGATTCATGGCTATAATTTTATATTCAAATTAAGCGTTCTCCATGTTTTTTTAAAGGAACTGTTTGCGTAGTTTCATTAATTAATAACATGTGGGAAGAATAGTAATAAAATGTATTTATGCATAATGAAATAAATATAGATAAATCTTTGAAATCATAAACACTTCAGTCTTTCTATTTTTGTTGCTCGTAACCTTAACTTTAGAGATTCATATTCTAAAATCATGAATTCTTAACATTTATCCCTCTCCCTGCTTGACAACCTTGCCTCTTTTCATCATCATTAGCTTGGATCAATTCATTTAAAGCTCGTCTTGTTGAGTAGAAATCATGCAACCTTTGGCTGTGAGAGTTATTGTTCGTCCTACATCTATCAGGTGGCCAAAACTGTTTAACCAGATGTTAGCTTCAGATACTTTTGAAACCACAGGAATAAAACCCATAAACAACAGTCTGGAAACCAATCCAGTTACTAGCTGCAGACAAGTGTGCTTAACTTCAGTGATATAATGAGATCTTGTGTCACATACTAGCTCAAAAAATCTTGGTCTGAGGCTGTTAAAATTTTCTGACTTTTCCTAAATACCCAAAGCCCTCCCTTTAGATCTAAATTCGGGCTTTTATACTAACTGCCCTGAGTCCTCAGGCACACTGCCTGAATGACTACTTTTTCCTGTAGCAAACTAAATCTTTATTTTGACCCACTTTCAGTTGTCAGATTTGAATAATTTTTAGCTTTTTTCGAAAGCCATGACATAAGGAAATAGATTGCATAAGTTTTCTTAAGAAAATTGTGCAAATTATTTGCATACGACCCATCGAAACAAATTTGCACATTTTTGGTTTCTCTTAACTACGCATCAGGTTTTTTCAAATTTTGCAAACATTTTTGCATATTTAAAATGGCATGGTCAATGGCTGTTCAAAAATGTATATTTTATCATTTTTTGGATATTTTTTTGCAAACATTTTTACTCTATAGCTGGATTTAGCAAATTTTAGCAAATTTGCAATTTTTTTTGTAGATTATAAAAGTAGAGCAAAAGAAATTTCCAATGATGTATCATTTGTCATATTTTGACATCAAACATGGNCAGGGATAGGGTTAACCTTTTAAAATTAGATGGTGGAGTTTGAAATATTTCTTCTTAGTTTGGGACAGAAAATCAGAGTTTAGGATTAATGAATTTTGGGAAAAAATAATCTTCTAGCATACAAAAAATTACTTGTGGAATTGGAAATATTTCTCTGAGTTTTGGGACAGAAAATGAAAGTTTAGGGACATAAATGAAAGGTAAGGAACTGAAAAAGTTTTGGGATAAAAAAATTAAAGTTTTCCAGTATATGATCATTCTTTATATATTACACCATGCTATAAATATTACAGTATTTAACAAAGAATCCTTGAATAAATTTTAATCAATTAAAATCAATTGTATTTACTGATTCTTTAATGATTTTTAATAACAATTAATAACATACCCCTAGAGGCTACTCAGAGCTAGAAATGACATTATGAAACAATTATACAAAATGGTTATTTCAACTGTGATAAAACATCTATCATGCAACATCTATTCCCAAAAGTTTTAAACTGTTAAAGTTGAAATGTAAAGTTGAAATGTAAAAAAAAATATCTATTTCAATCAATATACAAGATGTCCAAATAAACATGGGCATTGAAAGACAACTTTAAAGTGATTTCATGAGAATAAAAATAAAAGCCAGGATATATGTCATCCCAGCTTTTTCATAAACTGGTCTACCTAATTCTTGTGTATTAAACGTTGCCCAACATAAGATATTATATATATTAAAACAATTTTGATTCACTAAATAAATTTAAAATTTGTAGAAATTTCTTCGTCAATTTTGAAGATAAAAAAAATAGTAGACTACATTTTGAAAATCTCAAGACCAAGTGTTTAGTATTAAGATGATTAAGCAGGAACACTGCAATAATTATGATCATGAAAAAATGCCACATGGATTGAAGATGATATTAAAGTTTTCACTTATTTCCAATGTTTATTGGGGCCCCCTGTAAAAGGGAATATTACAATGCTGAGAGTTTCCCATGTTGGGTTCTCAACTATCTATAGAGATACTTTGACCAACTAGGTCCATGGAAACCAACGAAATGTAGTATTCCCTCCTTTAAATATATTTTCACTATTACCTCCCTGCAAATGATGAAATACATAGTTATAACTGACTATTACAATCAAAACTATTACTCTATGAATCCATGATATTTATATTGCAACTCTAAAAGTAGGAATGCAATGTAACTTACCATGATTGCATTCACTTTTGTTTAAATTTGGGAAAAATATTATTGTCTGCTTCTCTTCACTTAAACAGGTGGATAAATATGAATATATTTTTTGAAGCACATTAAAAAAGTCAAAAGTTTCAGATTTCCCAAAAAAATGGCAATTAGACTTTAGTTTGATTTTCCACTTTTGTTGTTTTTGGTTCTGAATTGATTTAAGTCGATAGCTTCCCAACTTGAACTGTTGACACGAATAGAATGCTCTTCAGTCTGGAAATAAAACAGTAAATTAGAATGTTAAACATATCACCAGTCTATATTAGAAGAAATAAAATCATTTAATTAGTCCACTGTAATACCATTTGTATGTGTCATTCAAATAGGAATTACACTATTTTGTCATTTTCAAAATAAGAGTTTTTGTTGTAAAATGGCAAATTTGTTAATGCCCCAATTTGTTTGCTAACATTAAATTAATTTTGTAAAATTTTAAATATTTTTGAAATGTTTGTTGACTAAAAAAACAATGCTCAGAAAAATTGTTTGTTCAACTAAATCATGTGTTCAAGACCATTTTTTGTCCTATATAAATTTTGAAACTGCCAGTCTGTTCAAAGTTTGATTGAATATGAAGGTTTGTAATGAGTTAGAGACAAATACTATGCCAAGCTCTACATTTAATGTAATTGTTTTGTGAGGAGTTTTACTCTTAAAATGCAGCTTACATTAATATGTGTTCCTGTATAAGCATACATCACTGTTCCTTTGGTCCACATTCCTCCCCACAGTCCAAAAGTTCCAAATGATCTAGTCATGGTTAATTAGTAATCTATTTAAAGTTTGAACAAGTACAATTGGTTATTTCTTCAGTGAATGTGTGCACCCTAGATATATTAATCTGTTGATATATTTGTGGATTCCAAATTTGACATAATGCAATAAAAATTAAGGAAACTACATGTAAAGAAAAACCACCCAGCAAACAAAATTCGACTATAAATTGACTTCAACTCAACTTTTACTTTACTTTCACTACAAATAGTTAACTTTTACACAACTATTTACTTCCAGAGATCAAAGTTAATTTGACTATTATTATAAATTAGTAATTATCATTATAATTATCATATAATTATCATGATAATTATTAATTTGACTATTATAGTTAACTAAACTAGCAAATATCCGTTCCAAAACTCAATTTTTATTTTAAATTTTTATCTAAATATTTAACCATTTTAACACACCAATTTTTAACAAGCCCAGGTAGGAAAGGAAAAAGAAAAGGGAAGAGAAACTTCTCCCCTTCTACTTTGGTCTATTAAATGTCACAAAAGGGTGGGGGGAAGGAAAAGAGGAAGGAAAAGGGGAAGGGGAAAGGAAAAGGAAAGGAAAAAAGTAAAAGAGAAGGGAACTGGAGAGGGAAAGGAGAAATTAAAGGCAAAAAAAAAGGGGAAGGTGTAGCGAAGCTAAATAAACGTGAGAAATAAACAGACTGAATATGTATTTATCAAATACAGTATAAATACAAGATGCAGTAGACCATAATCTAAACAATAACATTTGAAGTATGGAGTGTGCTGTGTACTGCATTCCAGAAATCCAACAGGGGCGCCACAGGGGTCCCCCAGCATCAAGGTGATGAAGTTAATGAAAAACTCGATGGTTATCTCGGACTTCTCTTCGAGGGTTCCGTCGAACTGGGAGAGGAGAAGGCTGATAAGGTGAGAATCTAACTCTCTTCTTCTTTCTCTGGGCTTTCTGGAGAGGTGCTGGAGAAGTTGGAGCCAACGGAGCTGGTGGTGACGGAGCTGGAGCCAACAGAGCCGAAGCCAATGGAGGTCTTCCCTGTCAGGGAGGCAACTGTGAAACCAGAGGACAATCAGAAAGAACAGGTTTGAGCCAGTCCACTGAGACGGAGTCGGACTTAGAACCAATCTGGACTTGAAAATACTTTGGATACTTGGGAAGAACTAGATAAGGCCCTCTGTACAGCGGAGACAACAGAGGCTAAGATGTATCTTCCCTGACAAACACATGAGAACAGGAGGTTAAACTTGACGGAATCCTGTCTGGCTTCAAGTCTGAGGCTCTAGACTGTCCAGAAACTCTCGGGGCAACACTAACGAGAACCAAAAAGAGCCTCGGAGGCGGAGATGGCAGAATCTTCTCTGGGAACACTACGGAGACATAGTAGAACCAGGGGAAGATTCTGGAACCAATCAGACCCAACCAAACGAGAGTGTAGAGAAACCTCGAGTTGACAATGAAATCTTTCCACAATTCTGTTAGACTGAGGACAGAACGAAGTCATGGGTGAGAGCACTATACCCAGAAACTTGCACTGAGCTTTTGAACAGAGCCCCTCGATCTGATATTATTACATCAGGAACCCCAAACATAGGAATCCATGAACGTAAGAGTACCTTTGAACACTCCTCCACAGTCATAGATTGGAGGGGAACAGCCTCCAGCCATCTTGTAGATCTGTCAATGATGGTGAAGAGATAAGAGAAACTATTGGACTGAGGGAGAAGACCAACAAGATACACATGTATGTGAGAGAACCTCCGTCCAGGAAATGGTATATGAAGAACAGGAGATTTTACATAGCTCTGGATTCACATTCTTTGACAGGAACTCCCAGTCAAAACTCCGGGAAATCAACCTCTGAGAAGCTCATTTTCCATGGTGAGAAACTCTGTGGATGGAAGAAAAAACTGCTTTTCTCATGCTTTCAGGAACCAGTGGACGGTGGATACCTGTAGAAACATCACACAGCAATTTATAAGACCTGGAGACAGGTACTAAGACTGAGGACTGGCGGAGCTTCTGAACTTTTGGACATGACTGTTGTAATTCTACCATTTCCAAAAATGATATTCCTGGCACTGTTGGAGGAGAGGGCATCAAAACAGTGGTAGAGGACCCATCACAGGGTCTGACACCGCTGGCACCTCAGGGTCCAGGACACCAGCAGGAGTAGGATGATGAGAAGAACAGGTTCAGGTTGAGGAGAACAGTAGGCGGGTTTGGCTCAGGGTTCGGAATAGAGCTAGCTGTAATTGGACTCGAAGAAACAGAGGACTGGCTTAACTCAGGGCTTGGACTGGAGCTATGTGACACTGGCGGGACAAGGCGTCAGTTACTAAATTGTGTTCTCCTAGGAGGTGACAAATATCACAGTTGATCTCGGAGATGAAGGAGAGATGACGTTGCTGCATGTTGGACCAGAGCGGAGAAGTCCTGAAGAAGGCATGAGTTAGAGGTTTGTGATCAGTGAAAAGAACAAATTCTTTACCTTACAGGAGGAACCGGAAATGGCGGAGGGCGGAGTATGCAGCAAACAGCTCCCGATCAAAGGCGGAGTATCTTGACTCGGCGGAGGACAGCTTCTTAGAGTAGAAAGCTAAGGGAGCCCAAGAACCAGCAACATCCTGTTGGAGAACAGCTCCAACATGAGAACCAGAGGCATTTACAGTGAGGGAAACCTTGGTGGAGGGATCTGGGTTCACAAGGGTTGGAACAGTTGATAGGACGGATCTGGAGGCGGAGAACGCTTGATTAATCTCTTAGGTCCAGGAGTGTTGAAACCTTCCCCTTCAAAGCCTCTATCAGCGGAGCCAGGAGCCCTGCATGCTGAATGTTTATATAATGTTTACAACCAAGAGAAGCAATGTTTGCTGAATGTTTATATAATGTTTACAACTAGGAGGATAGATGTTTGCTGAATGTTTATATAATGTTTACAACTAGGAGGAGAGGTGTTTGCTGAATGTTTATATAATGTTTGTTTACTACTAGGAGGACGAAAAGACGAAAAAAAACATGTTCATGGCGCAATTTTTTTTCTCTCTATTTCTTCAAAAATCATTTTGCATTAACTGATTCATTAATTTAAGGGGGTATAGCTCTGAGAATCCTCTTTCTTTCAGCGCTTATTTCTTGGTCTAAGTAAAGAAGGTAATTTTTTAATTTTTCTAAATTTGAAGGTTGACCTCAATTATTACAATTAATTATTACTTAATTATTATTAGAAGTAGTATTATATTTACATGTTCAGAGGCGTATGATTTTAATTGTTATGCTTTAATTTTCAATTTAATTTAATTTTATAATTAATTCATTCTTTTGTTATTTTGAAGGAACAAAGGGAAAGCCCTGCTTTGTATCCGGATATACCAAGTTCATGGCCGCCATGGGGGCGACCCTCCTAGAGAAGGTAAAAACAAATTCGCTAAAATTAAGATCATATTCATTTCTAATTCTATCTATATATTAGATATGTATATAAATATTATGATAAATATACTAAATCTTTGTATTGTGGAAATTTAAACCTTTTATATTTAAAATAGCTTAAACTTATTTATTTTATTATTACAATATTATGTCAATTATCCTCTAGAATTCTTTCTAGTATTGTATAACATACAAAATGAATTTTTTTCCAAGTTGAATTGCACAGCATTGCCTGTGGTTATTCAAAAATAGATGTTTACACTAATATTGCCTTTAAAGTTAACTTACAATCAATTATCAGTCTAGGAACGGTAGATCTTCTCCTTCTCCTCCTAACTTCAATATACTCTAGACATGAACCTAGAGCTACTCTTTATGAACTTAGAGCTGCTCTAGACATGAACCTAGAGCTGCTCTAGACATGAACCTAGAGCTACTCTATATGAACCTAGAGTTACTCTATATGAACCTAGACCTACTCTATACATGAACCTAGAACTACTCTAAATGAAGCTAGAGCTACTCTAGACATGAATCTAGAGCTACTTATATTAACCTATAGTTACTCTATATGAACCTAGAGCTAGAAATTCTTCACCTAATATCAAACTGTATTATTTGGGTTTAATTAAAATTTTTAGTGATTTCTATAAATTACTATCTAATCGATACACTTCAGATAATTATATCAAAATAAACATTTAAAATATAAAAATCTATATATAATATCATCAATGGCTAACTACAAATCAATCTACTCTAAAAAATCTGCAAAAAGTAATATTGACATAAGGAAAAAGTCTATACAAAATGACTTATCCTGGTCAAAAATTGTTATCTAAACATTCCTTTCAGCATGCCTCAACTAGTTTTGCGTAGTTCAAATGTAGGGTAGGTTTATTCGTGGACCGTAACGGAACCAAGATGAACCGGAAAAGGTTGGAAACCTGATAGGTAACCCCACTTTGAACATATAACAGCCAACCATATCAAAATAAAACATTTATAGTTTTTCTAACATATTTTTTTGGTTGTTCGAAAAACTTTTTATTTTATCTAAAAACTTTTTCAGTTGTTCTTAAAACGTTTTAGGTTTTCTAAAAACTTTTTCGGTTGATCTAAAATTTGTTTAGTTTTTCTAAAACCTTTTTTGGTCAATTTAAAAACTTTTCCCATTACTTTAAAAACTTTCCGGTAATTCTAAAAACTTTTTGCTGATTCAGAAATTTTCCTTGTGAGAATATTCTCACATATTTGAACAGTTAACCGAAATGCATTAGGTCTTTTTCAGTTAAACAAAAAAGTTTTCTGGTTTTTTTCCAGCAGTGTGGAATAACCAAAATTGGTTATTTTGCCAGCTGGGAGGATTTATTATTCTAATAATACAAAGAAAGATTAACATTGTGTAATTTGTTGCTGAAGTTAATATTTCTCCCCATGACTCATGCTCAAGATTCAAAGACCCGAGAGTTTAAACTGATTTCTGCCTCAAGCCTAACTCCTAAAGACTGATTCTCATACCAAGCCAACTGCAATAATGAACCTATATGATTTGCATTCTAACCCCCAGAGAGTAAACTCCACAACTTGAATCTGCAGTTGTGATCAAGATGACCTCAAGAAAGGATCTCTTTTTTGACTATGTAATCTAATATGTGCATAATAACAAAAATTTAAAAGTACCTGATCAGATGATCACATATTGAAATCAAAAACAAATCTCTTGGGGGCATTTTAGAACCTAAAATTAATTTAAAAGTGTTAGAATTATAAAGAATTTATTAGGGGAGGGTAATGGTCTAATGATGATTTAGAATTGATGGTGGAATGCATAATCTTGGATCAAATTCAAACACCTTATACTTTCTAAACATTTTATATATTTCATAAAATATATTTAAAACCCATAAATCCATAATTTAAAAAATAATCTGATTTTAAACAAAAAACTTCAATTTATGCTTTTATATAATCTTTCTGTGTTCCTTAGTTCTTTTCCTGAGATTTATAAAAATGGTCTACTGTTTTAATTATATCAAACGTTCACATTATTAGTTTGCAGAGTTTCAGTTTGAGTTTATTAGTTCATATTTTAGCATTTTTTACCTAATTTTTTACTGCTTGGTTATTGCTTTCCCATGAACTTACAGGAATTTTTCAAACATTAACTTAAACAGTCTCAAAAATCATACGAGTTTTACATGAAAAAAAATTAAAATATTTTTGATTTCATAAACCAGAATGGAGGCAAATAGGGTTTCCACTGTAATTCCGGGTTACATTTACCTACAGAAATGATTTCCCTTATGGAATTCCGGAATTCCGGAACGATTAACAAAACATTTTTTTCCTGTAAGCCGGAAATTTCCGGATCATTGTTCCAGAATTTTGGAACATCCCGAAATAGTGTTCCTGAAAATTCCAGTTTTCGGAAAAATCTTTCCCGAATTTTTCGGGAAAAGGTTCCAGTAAAACATTAAAGTCATCTTAAACTTATTTAGAAGATAAAACCATTAAGTAATACTATCTACATAACAAAAGAATGTATGCCTGGTTTAGCTTTAAATAATGTAATACTACAGTAAATTATCATGAAACATAAATCTTGACTGCCATGTCTCAAAATAATTTCATCTACAGAAAACTATGGAAAGAAAGACGACAAATATAGCAATCTTAAGTCTATTTGATGTTGTTAGAAAGCAAATCAGTTAAATATTAATTTGTCTGTATACAGTATAGTATATGCACCATGTAATTACCGTGTCTCATGTTCATTGAACTATTTAAAGTCATAATTTAAGTCTAAAAGTCGTCCTCATATTCCCGAGTTTTCTAATTCTAACTCTATTTATATACTTTGCTCGTCTGTTTGTTTGTCTGTTTTTATCCAATAAACGTCAAAACTCACTAAGACAAAAATTTATGAGGCAACTCACATGGCCCAAGGGAAGGTTTAAAACTGGTTTAAAAATTTTTGTGGGAAAAATGTCAAAATTTTTTTTCCATTTGATCCAAAATTATCCTGGAATTCTGGTTTACGCAACAAATTTCCAGATTATTCGATTACCAAAATGGCAAAATGGAAACCCTCGAGGCCATTAAAATTTCTAAGATAAAATTTATAAAATGTTTTTAAAAAATTGAAAAAAATAAAATGGAAAATAAATTTAATTTTCTATTTCTGTTATAAAAAAACTTCATTGCACCAAGTCAATTATGCAAACAGTTCACAAAATTACATGTAGCACTATTATTTTGGCACATCATGATAATTTCAGCACTACCTACCAATATAAAAGTGTCATGAATATAATTATAATAACCTGGAAGATTTGAAATATCTCCAGGAAATGCAATATCTGGTTCTTGACCGAAGTTTTTTTTTAGCCACTCAGTGTCCTCGCTTGCCATAAAGAACACAGATTTTGTAGTTTTATTATCGATACGTTTCCTGCAATTAACAAAAAATGTCAAATGTCTAGGGCCACTGAATGGAATTTGTTCAGTCTTAGTGAATATTTCCACTGCAAATTTTCAGTTATGCACTCACATTAAACTGTATCAGAGTGCAACATTTATAATATTCATAAAGTTTTCAAAAACAAGCCATTTCCCATTTCAACTTTATCAAAAATAAGTTTGACAGTTTAATTAAAGGTAATCACTTGCATATGATTATTTATTCATTGCATAACAATAATGGAATTATTAAAATTGGAAATTAAAACTAAAATGAAAAATAGAAAAAAAGAAAAATAAATTGCCAAAAATTATTTTCTACTTATTATTGTACCCAACTTACAAAATCCTTTGGAGAACACTAAAATATCTGGTGCTTTTACACAAGTGACCATTGAAAATCCTATGTTAAATCCAAAGATAATATATATATAGATATGCAGGCAGGTAGAAACCTCCTTCCTAAATTGCTTGTAGCAGACAACTAATTTTTGAACCTCTGAGAAAAGGTGCAAGGAGAGACATCTATAGCAAATTGATTACTTTCTATGTTCCTTTCTCCCCTTGCTGCCTTCTGTAGGAAATACGCATTTGTGATATAAAAACATACAGTACGCGTATTGCATCCTGTATAGTTCAAGTGTTGCTATCTGGACCTGTTTGACCAGATCAGTTGTACTTTGTCCTAGATTCGATGTACTTTTATAGTAATAATTTTTATTTAAATTGCGTTAATTTACATATGCCATTCACTACAACTTGCACATTTAAACTTTGTCTAGTCAAATTCCTACCTCAGTTTTATTTGCATTGATTAATTTGTTTCATTAAGTACAATATGCAGTATACATTGTTGATACTATAGTACGCATTTAGTGTTATCACGCATAAAAAAAGTGATAAATTAGCAACAATCCAGAGGATAAAATGCCATGCGTACGACAGAGATGGTGCTGTTTGCACTTTTTCTCAAGACCTCTAAATTTATACCTGCCTGCATATCTATATATATATTATCTTTGGTTAAATCTCATGTCAACAAGGTAATTGTTGACAATTTGATCATGGGTATAGGACAGAGATTTCCACAGGGGTGACTTAAGTTTATATCATGAGATCTACACGGGATTTTTACACAATCTACTTAAATACATTTTATAAATCCCAGGAAAAGATTAAATGATTTAGTATATTTTTATATCTATTTATAAATTTGGCTTGTCAAAACGGCTGAACCGATCGGGCCCAAATGACCACAGGGAAGGTTTAAGAATGATCAAATTTTCGAATATTTATCTCCATCAAAATTTGATCTTCATTAAATTTTTGAAAATTTTGAAAATCCACAAATTTTTTTGTGAAAATCCGCGAAATATTTTTGTTTTGTTTTACGATATACACAAAGAGAACATGTTCACAATTACTTTAGAAGATGGGCACGAAGCGTCCTAGCTAAGGCTAGTATTATAGAAAATACTTGTAAAAGTATATAATCAATAAAAAACGTTTGGAAACTTAACATTTTAGTTTTTTATCTTTTACATTAAAAATATTGAACATGCGGTCTTAAGATGATCAATTTTCACATATTGATATCTTCTACTAAATTTTTAACTATGTTGAGGTGTTCTTAAATACATGCTTTATATAAATTTTTGTTTATAAAAAATGGACAGAGACACCAAAAGTTGTGATTTTACATTTCAAATAAAAAAGAAACATGCAATTTCTTCCTGTAATATCTCATATATTTAACACAAGATATTTACAAGAATTAAATTCTGGATATTCTGACATTTCATTACTCATGATTAACAAGTTGGGAACATGAGAGATCTTGCAGTGATATGTTCGCTACAAGCCCAATATGTGTAAAAAACGACAGGAATTTAGCTAGAATATTACCGCATTTTCTCATATAACACTTAAAAATTATGAGTATTAAACTCTTGATATTACTTGTGTCTAACAAAGCATGTGAAAAATTATGTGAATTTTACTAGAATATTTGCACATTGGTTACCAGTGCTTTACACAGTATAAATGTTCAAGATCATAAAAAGAAACTTTACCATTAGAATAACACAAGGTAAATTAATTATGTGAGTTCTCCTCCATCTAATCTTGATGCAAACATGTGCTTTCCTTGTTGGGTATGAATTGGAATATCTGAGAAACCTGTTATCTCAGTGAGGGGAGGAAGGTGACCCGCAACGTTTGACATCCGAGCCGCAGATGATGTCAGAAAGTGTGTTTGCGACATGTACTTACTTCTGTGTCATCCACCCTCACCCCTTGGCCTTCCAGCTTAATGTCTTAATTTGTAATGGCAATAATTATAAGTCTGAAAATAGTTTTTTTCTTTCTTTCAGGCTGCATCAATCGGACACAACTGGTCCTATTTCAAATTTCAAATTTTTTAAATATAAATTTTAATTGATTTTATAATAAATTAACCCTTTTTTAGATTATAGCACCTTCTTTTACTGAATTGAACATCAAAATCCAAGATTTTATTTGAGCAATGATTTTTTCTTGGTGTTCCAAAACTTTTTTTTGAGTAGATTATCGTCAGCGAGTATATACCTAGATAAATTTATACAGAGTAAAATGTGAAAAACCGCATTTATTACCATGGGATATTCAACATCGGTGACCTCATGAAAACTGCAAAGTCATATACAATAATAATATATTTTCAGGAAGAAAATGTCTTGGTCCTCAAATGTACTAGAGCGAAAAAGTTTACTTTTTAGTTTTTAGCATTTTTCAGACCATGCAAAACATGAACTATTTAAAAAAATTCTACAATTAAAGTTGTATTGTGGAGGACGATGCCTGGCCGCGTTAAACAAATCCCACAAGATTCAACAGAATGAGATAGAACGGATATGGGGCATAGTACGGATAAACATCTACACATGTGATATTGATATTGACTCTAATTCTGAACCCTCTAGTAATAAGTTATCAGAAATATATATATACTGGAAGTATTTTATGCGTTTTCATTAGAGTCTGACTCACATCCTCTATATTGGTGACCCCTGACTTTGAACATTCAGTTAAATGCTATCCAGTTTCGTGATTTTCTTGAACTTTGAACATTAAGTGGTTCATCCGAGCATCATGACGGACCAGAAACTCCAACCGAGTACGTCGCCAAAGTCTCCGTCAAGCTCCCGGATTTTTGAACAGAGGACCCCGACTAGTGGTTCCTTCATGCAGAGGCTGCCTTCAGAAACACTCAAATCACACAGTCAAAAACCAAATTTGGTCACATCATCCAGAAGCTTCCCCAAATGATTATGGTCTCGGTATGCAGCCTGATCATGGGTTCTGCTGCCTCCTCAGAAACCCCTTAGGAGGATTTAAAGGCCAAGCTTGTCTCCTCATTTACTCTATCAAGCCGTCGAAAGGTCTCCAAACTAATTCATCACCCTGGGCTGGGAGACCGACGCCCTACTGCTCTCATGGACGCCATGTTGGCCCTTCTCCCAGAGGATGAGAAACCAGGTTGCCTGTTCCAAGGTTTATTTCTGGAAAGGTTGCCCCTCAAGATGAGGGACCATCACCAAGGAATTCAAAAACCCTAGTGAAAAGGCATTATACGCCGATAGTTTGTGGGACGCCAGGAAAGCTATACCTACTGACCACCTCCTAGCCGCAGCATCAACCTCATCATCTTCCCCATCATGTGGTAGAGCTCAGGACTGCAGAAGCCCATCCCCAAACCGCTGTAGTCAAACCCCTGGTCCATCAAACTCTGAGTGTTATTTCCACAAATGTTTTGGTCCTGCAGCCAACAATTGTCGCCCTCCTTGCAGTTTCCAGGGAAACACCAGAGCTGACAGGAGGAGGAAAAATTAAACAGCCTTCCTGTCGGTGGTTATCTCATATACCTCCAAGATGCCCTGTCAAACCGTGATTATTTAGTTGACACTGGAGCTTCAAGATCTGTGTTTCCCTATCATTCCTCAGCTGCACCAACAGGCCCCTTCTCCTAATGACTGATGGACAGCCAACTAAAGCTTGGGTTTCCAGATTAATTCCTCTACAGTTGGGTTCCCACCATTTCCAGTTCCAGTTCATCTTCCCTGGCGTGGACTAACCAATCCTGGGAGCAGACTTCCTGGCAGAGTTTGACCTTCTAGTTGGCACTAAGAACCGCCAAGTTCTTAAAAATCTCTCCTTTGAACCCCTTGCACCGGCTAGGTTTTCTCCCGCTGATTCCTCCGTTGCCTCTGTGTGTAAACTCGCCCCTGATGTTGCCTCTCTCCTGGATGAGTTCCCTGCAGCCTGGAATCCACGGACAAAATTGACCGGGCGGTCAATTTTGACCGATGCCGAGACGGACAAAATTGACCGGTGAGGGTGTGTTTGTAAATATACTATATTGGGGTAGGGTGTATACTGCACAGTGTGTGCTTAAAAACCGGCATTTCGACCAGGCGGTCAAAATTGACCTGGTCCGAGACAGTAAATTTTGACCGGGCAGAAAAAAGACAAAAAAAGAGCAGTAAACTTAAACTTTTTACACTGAACATAACATTAGCATAAAGTTGACATATAAATGTACACTTTTCAGAAAAAAAAAAATTTTTTAAACATTTTTTCACTGATTTATACCTGTCTTTGTATTTACCCCCCAAGTGAAGCCGGTTTAATCTATCGACCTGTCACCTATTTGCAAAACTTGGCATATATGTACGAAGGATCTGGAATAAAACGAGACAACATTTGGTTTAAAAATGAAGGCGCTAAAAATTAAAAACCTTACCCAGTCAAAATTGACCGTCCCGTCAGGAATGGGTTAAATCCATCTCTTTCAATGATTTCTCATTCTGTGGGAACTAGTGACATTTTTTGTGATATTTCAACCAGTTCCCTTCGTCCTCTGGTTCCTCTTCAACTTCGCCGCAAGTTATTCAGGCAACTACCTAGTATTTCTCATCCTGGTGTCAGAGCCTCCAAGAGATTGATCTCATCAAGATTTGTTTGGCCGGGATGTCCAGAGATGTTGGTTCGTGGGCAAAATCATGTATTTCATGCCAAAAATCCAAGATCTCAACTCATGTTCATTCTACAGTTTCCCCTATTCCAGTGCCAACCTGGAGATTTTCTTACGTTCATATGGATCTTGTTGGTCCTCTTCCATCTAGTCATGGTTTCATATATCTTTTCACCATGATTGATAGAACTACAAGATGGTCGGAGGCCGTTCCTTTGTCCTGCATCATAGCTGAGTCTTGTGCTCATGCTTTCATCTCTACTTGGATTTCGAGATTTAGAGTTCCTGCAGTTCTCACGTCGGACAGAGGTTCTCAGTTCACGTCTTCTATCTGGACTGGAGTTTGTTTTATGGTAGGAATTTCAGCCTCCACTACGACCTCTTTTAATCCTCAAAGTAATGGAATGGTTGAAAGATTCCACAGGAGTTTGAAGTCTTCTCTACGAGCCAGGTTAGCAGGTTCTGATTGGTTTTCTCACCTTCCTCTAGAGAGCCACTCCGAAAGATGATACTGGCCTCTTAGTTTCCGAGGCTGTGTACAGTTCCCCTTTGACCTTACCTGGTGAACTTATAGACATTCCTGAGCTACCCCCTGATGCCTTCCTCAGGAAAGTTAACAGAGCCATTGATGGATTTCCCGTTTCTTCGCCTCATCATGTTCGTCCTGTTCAACCTGTTCAACTGCCTGCAGCTCTTGTGTCAGCTAAGTACGTTTTTGTTCGTGAAGATGCAGTTATATCATCCTTGGCACCACGTTATCGAGGCCCTTACCTAGTAATAGACAGGCAAGACAAATATTTCTGCCTCCAGATTGGTTCTAAGCAAGATGTGGTCTCTGTTGATCGCCTGAAACCTGTGTTCAGTGATGCTCCCCTTTATTCTTGCTCTTCCTCCGCCTGGAGGAAGACCCAGCCGTCGTCCAGTGGCAAGTTCTTTGGATCCTCCGCCATCCTCTGCCGCAAGAATACCCAAGAGAGTCAGGTTTCATTTCATTCCTCAAATTCTTCCTCCCCCTGCACCTGCATTTCGAAATCCTTACAGGACTTCAAGGGATAGAAGGATCTGCTCCACCACGTCCCCGCCGTTCCTTCTGGGGGACTACTGTGGTGGTTATGAAAGTCGTCCTTCTTGGAGAATTCTCCGCGGCAGCAAAGAAGTAGAAGAGTTTCTCTAGCCATGTATGATATTTAAATAACATGTGTTATATATATAAACGGTATTTTCAACCATGTAAACTTAAGTTAAAAATATAGTTAGTTATTTTGAAATCTTCATCGTTAGTTAGCCGACCGCCAAACTGGAAGTATTTTATGCATTTTCATTAGAGTCTGACTCACGTCCTCTATAGTATTATGTGCATATTTTATCATTAAATCTTGGATATAATCTAATATGATATGGGATGCTCTGTATTACCTAAAAATCTTATGAATACAAATGTGGGTGGGAATCATGACACAACACTATTTACATTTTTTTTCAAATAAGCATTTGGGAAATTTCCCAGATACCCAGGCATTTGGGAAATTCCCCAAATTCCTGTAGGCATTTTCTAGATACTGGGTATTCAGATACCCAGGCATTTGGGAAAGGAATTGAGTCTATGCCACAAACTTTGAATTTAAAATCCCTATATCTTTAGAACCCAATGTTGCAAATCTTTTATATTTCAAACTTACATTATTTGATCTAACAAAATTCATAGTTTGAAATATCTAAGGTATACAACATTGGAATCCAAAGATATAGTGTTTTAAAAAGTTTTTGGTAAAGACTCAATTCCTTTCCCAGATACTCACGTAGGGTTTCCAACGTAATAGATTATTCTCTTACGCGTAATTACGTGCAGTTACGCATAATGATTTTCATTTTGTGTAATTTCGCAGGATTACGCGTAATTGGGGAAATATCCATTTCGCGAAATTACGGCGTAATTTTGCGTAATTTCTACAATGTAATTTCGCGAAATTTTGTAATGATTATGTGTAATAATGGAAACTATAATTACGCGTAATTACAGTGTAATTTCGCGTAATTTCTACGATGTAATTTCGCAAAATTTCGTAATAATTACGCATAAAAAGCGAAACTATAATTACGCGTAATTACAGCCTAATTTCGCGTAATTTCTACAAGGTAATTTCGCAAAATTTTGTAATGATTACACGTAATTAGCGAAACTTCAATTTCGCATAGTTTCTACAAAGTAATTTTGCGAAATTTTTCCTTAATTACGTCTATGAAATTTTGATGTTTTAACTTTTAACTTAAATAAAACAACTAACTTACAAGGAAAATAATGTCACGCAAGTTGAATCGGAATTTCAGCCAATACATAATCTATAAAATTTTTAATTTTCAACGACTTGTTAATATTTCAACCTACTTTCTCAAGTTTACCTTCCTTGTTTGAAAAAATGTCGAAATAAATAAATAGAAGTCGAGGGGGGTGGTCAGCAGGAAAGAATAGAAGGGGGGGGGGTTGAGTACATACTGTCCCGCTATAATTATTTCTGAGAATTAATATGTACTTTATTTATTATGGAATTGTTGCGTAATATGTAATTTTGCGTAATTACGCCTTAATTACGCAAAACTAGAATTTCTTTCGTAAACGTAATATATGCGTAATTACGCGTAATGCTCCTGCGTAAGTGAAAGAAAGTGTTATGTTTCGTTACGCATAATTACGCGTAACAAAATTACGACTGGAAACCCTAGGCATTGGGGAAATTTTCCAGATACCCAGGCATTTGGGAAATTTCCCAGACACTCAGTCGTTTCAGAAATTTCCCAGACACTCAGGCATTTGGGAAATTCCCCAAATTCCTTTAGGTATTTGAGGGTGGTATAGTTTAAGATTTTGGAAATTTCTCAAATGACTGGATATTTGGGGAATTTCCCACGAACCTAGGCATTTGGGAAATTGCCCAGATACCCAGGTATTTGGGAAATTTCTCAAATGGCTAGGTATTTGGGGAATTCCCCAAATGCCTGGGTATCTTGGAAATTTCCAGTCATTTGAGAAATTTCCAAAATCTTAAAAATATACCACCCTTAAATATCAATAGGTATTTGGGAAATTTCCCAGACACTCAGGCATTTGGGAAATTTTCCAGATACCCAGGCATTTGGGAAATTTCCCAGATACCCAGGCATTTGGGAAATTCCCCAAATACTCAATTTCTCAATTGACTTGATATTTGGGAAATTCCCTAAATTCCTATAGGTATTTGAGGGTGGTATATTTTATCGATTTACGAAACTTCTCAAATGACTGGATATTTGGGGAGTCTCCCAAAAACCTAGGCATTTGGGCAATTCCCCAAATGTCTGGGTATTTTGGAAATCCTCCAATGTCTGGGTATTTGGGGAATTCCCCACATGGGTATCTTGGAAATTTCCAGTCATTTAAGAAAAAGTATCTTCACTAAAATCTTGTGTGATCTGAAATCTGCTGTTACAAACACAACATGAATAAGTATATTGTATGATAGATACCAAGACGTCTATAAATTTAATCCTTCATTCATAATTAGCATATACAAATTAAGAAATTTTGCTGGAAGGCCAACGGGTGAGGATCGGACAGCATAGGGGTGAGCACATGCCACAAACCCGTTTTGTGACGTCATATGGGGGTCAGAAGTAAAATGGGTGCGGGTTGCCTCCCCTCCCTATCTCAGTAAGCTAGAAAAAGAAGTTAAGGAGATTTTTATTAGGTGGGACACAGGAGGTTGATCCCAACCTGTCCATTCATTCTTTTTGATTGAATGGCCTGAAATCCCCCCCCCCCAAAATAAATTTAATACTAAAGTATACCTAAGCAGATTTATGCAGTGATCAAAGTATTTTTTCCACATTTTTTCATCAATCATGTAGTCACGAAGAATTTCATTCTAACAAAAGTCAAGGGTAAAAAAAATAGAAAACATGGATATTATAATATACAGCACTGTCAAAAGATTTGTATGAAATATTTTAAAATCTTTAAAACCTTGCTCGTTACATTCCCATTTTTCAAAAAACTTGCCATGGAATATTTCCCACCCTATTATGCACTCCCTCACACTTACAGTCCACCTTTTTTCCCCCCCCCCCTCTAGTATTCACTGAATTACTTGAAACCTTTGGATATCATTAATTTTACATGAGGACTTGCTTGGTAAAGAGTAATAACTTGGTTAGGACAGGAAAAGTAAGGTTACAGATTCGGTTTATAAATTTTGACTCTCAATTTATTCTATGCCATGATTTTTGAAGAATTTGAAGCATTTCATCCTACTACAATTATCTTTCAATAAGAAAAACTTGGTTTGCATACATCTTAAATAAGCAGATGAAGGGGACAGGAGTCAGGAAACCTTTCAGCTGTAACTGTAACATATGTTGTATTTCTTTAAGAATAAGCACACACTTCATCAGTGATCTTTTAAGACACAAAATATAATAGGGTACAATACTATTTTGTGAACTCTCATATAATAAATTAGTCAAAGTTATCTTAAAACAATGTCTAAATATCTAGCCAGTACTTCATAATAATAAGGGCCCACAACCAAACCAACTACAGTTTATTGCTCAAATGGTCTTTTATTTTTGTCTGTACTACAAGGGAGGGAAGGCCAAGAAGCCATGAACCCCGTGGAAAATCTCCGAACCCCATGGAGGAGGTTTTTTGAAAACGTTATCAAATATAAATATTACTTGTAAATAATTTTCCAATTTTCTCGTCATAAGGCCAAGGTTAAAGAAATAATTTTCATTATTGTTTTAATTGTCTTTTTCTCCAAATTTTGTTTTCCCGTAAAAAGGATGGATCTCAAGTATGACACTTTCAAGTTTAAATAATAGTATACAAGGGGGGGGGGGCTACGGTTGCTCTGCCCCCCTCCTGGATCAGAAAAATCTATGGTTTACTTATGATATGAAGGGTCTTTCTTGTACAAGAAGCCTCCTTGACTCCTTGTAAGCCCCTCTGATGTCATTTAGTTGGGAAATGGATATTTCCGTTGCTTCCCACTAATAAAGTTGTGATTTTAATAGCTTTTTAAAGTAGGCATTCTTTCCCAACTAATGGTTTTACTAATTAACTTGTTTATTACTAAATGACTACTTGTTGATGTTAGAAGGCCTTATTCGTCATGTAGGTCTTCATTGGGGAATAATCCTCAGTTAGGTAACTTTGTTCAGTAATTAAATGTTCCAAGTTGGTAAATACAATCCATAGGATTGTCAGCAAAATATTTGGAGCAAATTGAAATGAGTATTTTTGCAAGTTTTGAGGATTAGTAAAAAACACAAGACTTCTAAAACGTCTAAGAGATGAGACTTTAGCTAAGACCATGGGCTTTTCAAAACTGACGATCTAAGTTTTAACTTTGGCTTTTGCTTTAATTGTGTTTTAAAGTTATTCCAATAATTTGGCAAAGAAAGATACCAGAAATTTTTGAAAAAAGTCTCATAAATTCTTAACGTCTCCTTAAGTTTCATCTTTGGTGGATGACCCTGTACTTTCATTCTTAATTGGTCCGTCTTCAAAAATTTCGATACCTGCTTTATAAAATAAAATTTGTAATTTAAATGAACCATAACAAAACATACTCTCCGGGAAATTTAAACAGTGTTTAAACATAACTTAGCATTGTCCTAGGAGGCTTAGCCGGTCAGGGTGCTCCAATATTTATGTTGACCTTAGAAATAAATTCCTTGTGCCCAATTACCTATAACTCGACATACAACATGTAAAATCTGTGCTAAGATGACCATAATGTAACTGCCGGCTACTAGCACGCCGGTCAGAAGGCTCCAATGTCTATTTTGACCATGGAAATGAGTTCCATCCCGAGTAGAATCTTAGAGTCGGGAACCTAGTCTTAGGCGCCGGGCCGACTTTCTCCGACCCTCTGTTTTTGGAAAAAAATATCAAATTTCACCAAATATATGTAATATGAGCAAAAACCATTAAAATA